GTCTTCTCTTGCTGACTAGTGGAGAATCATATATCCTTCTCAGAGGATAGATGGCAGCAGTAACTCACTTTTCAGACTACTATATACTTTGGAGAAACTTTCGTACATATATTTTCTGACAAGTACATGTTTTATTTAATTTTATATAATAAATTGATTCATAAAATCGATCAAACCCTTGTAGTTTTTTATGTAACTGTTAAATATTTTTATGTACATTATTATATATTTAGTTTTAAAAACATCGTTCCTATTTTACTTTTACATATAATTCTTATCAAATGAAAAAAAGAATAAATAAAAATATATCTGATAAAAAGACACAAAGTAACACAATATATATTGTACTGTAACCTGATTACCTTCTAATCGAATCTCATCAGAAGTGATAAACTTGCGTAGTCACACGAGGTTTGCAGCAGAGTTTCAGCAAAAGATGGAAGTATAGTTGAAATGGAATGCCTACGATATTTACTTGCAACGTATCTGAAAGGGTGGTGAAACGTATGTAAAACCAGAAGAGTGCGTCGATTCGATGCTCGAAGGAAATCCCACGTTCGATCGCAGGAAGTCACGAGTGCACGCATAAGAGGGAAGACCTCTTAAAATTCTCACGAATCATTATTGAGCCGTTTAGCGTTGGCACGTTACGCGAGTCGCACGTTTACGGTAATTTCAGTGCCGATCTCGACACGCTCCCGTCTCGTCACGCGCAAACAAGGTGAAATTTACGTCGATGGCGGAAAAAATTCGCTCACTTACCTGTTATATTCGGTTCATCCACGAGTCGGTGTGTCACGATCGTACACGCGAGTAATGTGCATCACTTCGGGCGATCCTCTCTCGCGTATAATGCTGCACTTTGCACGGACAACCCTTGGTTTATGGGCATTCTCACGCATGTAATAAATCGCCGCTGCGCTGCAGGGTTACCGCAAGAGGCGAACATTGAAACCTCGGTTCACAGAGATTTCGGGTACTTAAACGTAATCCTGACCCGCCGCGTATCTACGACGGACTATGATATATTTTGCAGATCTTGATATCGTGTTTTTCATGGAATATGTGCGGCTTATACCGAATACTGTTATCAAAATTACACGGAAAACGAGCTTTTGATGCAACTACCATTTGAATAATTATATTAACTAAATATTATATTTCTTATATAAATACTTAATTTATTTTTACTAAATAAAAGACGGAAAAATCGTAATAGAACAACGTCTATAATGATTAGCAGAAAGTATGCGAAATAATCATATTCGTAATGATGATTTACGGACACAGTCGAGGTGTGAGACCGAAAGGATTGTCGATGCATCTCTCCCTATGCAGGCAAGCAGGAAAGAATTCAGGCCGCGCGATGACTAACAATACACGCATGCCTCACGCGAGAAAGAGAGAGAGAGAGCACAAGAGGGACGGTGCGCGGTGAATCGGTCATACTTCTAGTTTCTTGGAACGGCAATTATCGGAGATAGTTTCCTAGAGGATTTTTCGGATCGACAAGGAGATACAATTCGCACGTGGGTGTCTTTGTCTTCGGCTGGCAACGTCTGGCGCGGCGCCCGGTTCCCAAAGGCGTGGCCATTGATTTGTCTACACTCGGTCGCACACGCACACACACATACGTACAAGAAGAAAAAGTCCCGGATTGATCTCACTTAGAAATATTCGAATAGCGACACCCACATATGTACGCGGACAGCGGCCATTCATCGGCGGATTCTCCGTCCCGCGGACCGAAGATCCTCTCTTTCGATCTTTAGTTGGTATCGTCCTTATGTAAGTCGCACGTCGCACAAATGGGTGCCATCGACACTGATTAACGTGAATCGTAATTATAACGAGCTCATCTCTCTCTCCTTTTCTCCTTATGTGTTGCAGCT